GCACAGGTAATGTTGATGATGGGCTGAATCCGAAAGGAACAGAGCATAAAGTTTAAAAATTTGTTATTCACGTCCACACAAATAGCACAGAAAACTAGAATACTGGAAAACTGGGGGGGGGGGGGGGGGACAGGGCACATTACCAGTTTCAACTTGATGCATGATTTCATTTCCAGTCCAGCATTGCATCACAGATACCCCATATTTTATTTCTGAGGTTCATAATCAAGGACTCCAAGGGCTTGTGTATCCCAGCAAGGATGACACATCCGGACTTCAGATACAACAGGCATAATACATACCTAAAAAGTATTTACACAGACCACTATAGAACCAAAGCTGAAGCAACCTACAATAAAAACTGCATGGGAGTTGTTCAGACAACAACCGTCGGCTTGAACTTTGTTAAGGAGTCACTGAAAAAGTGAAGAGCTGAGTAGAAATACAGCAGAAGGGTTGTTTACATGATTATTTAAACTTTTTAAAAATAAGACTGTGCAGCCAAAGAGTTGAGAAGGAGGGATGATACCCTGAAAAGAAAGAGAATGAAGCACCTGCATCTGCAGAGGAACAACCAAATAATTGTATTTAATCCATCACTTTTTCTCAGGATTGAAAGATAAACAATTATTGCTCTTTCTTCCCTGAGGTCTGGAGAAAGTGGACAACAAGGAAGGAAAAAAAGACACCCAAATGCTGAGATGGACAAACTGACAGTGCGGATCCAGGATAAACCTTTGACCAATTTCATGAAGGAGTGGGACTTGTTTATCTCCTTTTCACAGCAACGATGGGGGCAAATTTCAACTTTAGATTTAGGGATGTGAGATATGTTTTTCAAAGTATGGTTACACGGTATTATCTAAAGGTATAAAATAATAAGGAGTCAAAATCAACCGACAAAGAATGTGAGGTTAGATTAGTTTCAGCAATTGTTTGTTTAGTTAGGTGTGTTTTAATGTATGTAGGTACTAGCTTCATGTATCTGTTTTAGACTTAGTAGTTTTCGTTTTATATTATGAAAATCTGCTTTCTTTGTACTACCTTTGCTATTAATGTAGGTAGGAGTCTGTTTTAGGCTTAGTTTTGAAAAAGATAGTAGTTTTGGTGTTGTTACAGAAATCTATTTACTTTGTGTTGTCTTTGTTTTTAATGTAGGTAGGCGCTAGCTTAGTGCGTCCCTTAGAATTAGTTTTGTAAAATAATCATTGTATGTCATAAATATGTTATTTATGCAGGTGTTATTAGTTGTTTTTAGTTAGTGTCTACTCATGTAAGGCAATATAATTATTATATTATATTGGAGTTTAAAGGTTACTATATAATATTATAGTTTTAAAGTTATTGTTCTTATATTATGTTGTAGTTTTAATGTTATATATTATGAAATCTTTTTTCTAGTATTGTCTTCAAATGCACTCGGCTATGGAAACTCACTGGATGACTTTGGATAAATCAAACACTCTAGAACAGCATTTCTCAATATGGGGGTTGGGACCCCTGGAGGGGTTTCAGAGGGATCATCAAACACAATCGGAAAACATATAGTCTTAGGAACCCCTTTGACAGAGAAAGCTGAAGATCACTCTGACTGTCCTCTTCCTTTTTGGAAACAGATGGCAAATCCTCCCACCAAAAGTCCTCATCTGCTGTGATTGGCCAGCCTCTCAACCATGGGGAGGGCTGTTTCTGAGACTCCAAGCAGGGAGGGGAGAGCAGGCATGTTTGGTGCACGGCAGCATGGTGTGCATGAGCGGACGAGGGAGAGTGTATTAGACTGGAGGGAGGCTCACGCCAGCAAGTCCCTTCAAGGCATGGGGGTTCTGTGTGGAAAGTCTGACCCAATTCTATCATTGGTGGTGTTCAAAATGCTCTTTTACTGTAGGTGAACTATAAATCCCAGCAACGGCAACTCCCAAATGTCAAGGTCTATTTCCCCCAAACTCCACCAGTGTTCACATTTGGGCATATTGAGTATTCGTGCCAAGTTTGGTCCAGATCTATCATTGTCCATACGGCTCTCTGGATATAGGTGAACTACAACTCCAAATCTCAAGGTCAATGCCCATCAAACCCTTCCAGTATTTTCTGCTGGTCATGGGAGTTCTGTGTGCCAAGCTTGGTTCTATTCCATCTTTGGAGTTGGAATGCTCTTTGATTGTAGGTTAACTATAAATCCCAGCAACTACAACTCCCAAATGACAAAATCCCCCCCCCCAAAAAAAATCTAACAGTATTTAAATTTGGGCGTATCAGGTATTTGTGCAAAATTTGGTCCAGTGATTGAAAATACAGTAGTCTTGCTTCTCCAACATAAGCAGGCCGGCAGAACTTTGGATAAACAAAAACGTCGGATAATACAAAGTCTCCTACTGTTACCAATCCGATGAGGCGCTAGACACCTAGAATACTAACAACAGGAACTCAAAGGGTTAAGGCAAGGCAACACCTCAGGGCTAGAGCGGCCCAGCAGAAAGTGCCCGGATGCGGAAGAGGAGCATGGAAATCAGAGGGAAGAAGGAAGGATGCTTCCACTTTGGGTCCTGCCTCTTTCCCCCCTTTCCTTCTCCCTTCTCCTCATCTTGTGTTTCCCACTTACTGGGAATGGAGAGAGTGTTGGGGAGCGCTGCTTTACTTGAAGGGAAAATGTTGGAGAAAAAGGGGGTGTCGGATAAGACGGAATATTGGATAAGCAAAGGTCAGATAAGCGAGATTGTACTGTACATCCTGCATATCAGATATTTACATTACGATTCAGAACAAGAGCAAAATTATAGTTATGAAGTACAGTAGAGTCTCATTTATCCAACCCTCGCTCATCCAACGTTCTGTATTATCCAACGCTGTCTGTTTCCCACCCGGATTCACAGCTGTTTCAATACATTGTGATGTTTTGGTGCTAAATTTGTAAATACAGTAATTACTACATAACCTTAACGTGTATTGAACTGCTTTTTCTGTTGATTTGTTTTAAAACACGTTTTGGTGCTTATTTTGCAAAATTATAAAGCAATCTGACGTTTGATAGGCTTTTCCTTAATCCCTCCTTATTATCTAACATTTTCGCTTATCTAACATTCCGTCGGCCCATTTATGTTGGATAAGTGAGATTCTACTGTAGGAACAAAAATAGTATTATGGTTAGGGGGTCACAACAACATAAGGTACTATATGAAGGGGTTGCGGCATTCGGAAGGTTGAGAAACAACAGTTGTAGGGAAAGGCAATGGGATAACTCCTGTGAATAAATCTGAACAAGAAAACCATACAATTGGGTTGTCACAAACCAGAGTCAACTTGAAAGGCACAAAACAAAGTTTTAGGAAAGCACAGCAAAAGCCCATAAAATAGGATTGTACATTTGGAAAACAACAGGGAAAAGGAAAATATTTTTCAATATGCCAAACTTCTAGCAAAATTGACATTTAGGGCCCTTCCACACAGCCTTATATGCCAGAATATCAAGGCAGAAAATCCCACATTATCTGCTTTGAACTGGGTTATCTGAGTCCACACTTAAGATAATGTGGGATTTTCTGCCTGAAATTCAAACCTCACTAAGGGCCCTTCCACTCAGCCCCATATCCCAGAATATCAAGGCAGAAAATCCCACATTATCTGCTTTGAACTGGGTTATCTGAGTCCACACTTAGATAATGTGGGATTTTCTGCCTGAAGTTTAAACCTTACTAAAGCCTTTCCACTCAGCCCCATATCCCAGAATATGAAGAAAGAAAATCCCACATTATTGATGTTTGGACTCACATAACCCAGTACAAAACAATTTTTCTAGACACTCGCTTACTCAGGGCCTTTCCACTCAGTCCGATATCTCTGAATATCAAGAGAGAAAATCCCAAATTATTGATGTTTGGACTCAAGATAACCCAGTACAAACCAGATATTGTGGGATTTTCTGGACACTCACTGAGACAAGACAGAATAACCCACAATATCTGCTCTGAACCGGGTTAACTGAGGGCCACACTAGACAGGCCCTATATCTCTGGTTTTCTGAATTAAACTGGATTACAAGTCTTAGGGCCCTTGCACACAGCTGAATAAAACCCCACATTATCTGATTTGAACTGGATTATACGGCAGTGTGAACTCTGATAAACCAATGTATTGTTGAAGGCTTTCATGGCTGGAATCACTAGGTTCTTGTAGGTTTTTTCAGGCTATAGGGCCATGTTCTAGAGGCATTTCTTCTGACGTTTCGCCTGCATCTATGGCCAGCATCCTCAGAGGTAGTGAGGTCTGTTGGAAATAGGAAAATGGTTTATATATCTGTGGAATGACTGGGGTGGGGCAAAGAGCTCTCTGCTGAAGCTAGGTGTGAATGTTTCAGCTGATCACCTTCATTAGCATTTGAAGGCCTGGCTGAGCCTGGAAAATTTTTGTTGAGAGGTGTTAAGATGTGCCTGGTTGTTTCCTCTCTGCTGTTTTGCTGTTGTAATTTTAAGAGTTTTTTAATACTGGTAGCCAGATTTTGTTCATTTTCATGGTCTCCTCCTTTCTGTTGAAATTGTCCACATGCTTGTGGATTTCAATGATAAACCAGTTCAAAGCTGATATTGTGGGATATAGGACTGCGTGGAAGGCCCAGCTATGGATAGGAACCCAAATGTGGGGTTTTATTCCGTTGGGGGGAGGGGCGGGGGAGGAAAGGGCCTTAGTTTTGTAGTAGTAGTCCTAGTCCTAGTAGTAGTAGTGTGAGTGCTACGATAATCTGCTTACTTTCTACTGCTTTTTGTCCTCCACTTCCTAATTTGAGAGGCGGCGAGGGCGCGCGGAAAGGGCGGCTGCTTCCTGCCTCTTCCTCCTCCTCCCCCCGTTCTCTCTCTTCGGGGTGGACGCAGTGCGGGCGCGAGTAGGCCCAAAGCGGGACCGATTCGCGGCAAGAGGCCGGCCCCGCCCCCACCCGGCCAGGCCTCGGGTGAGAAAATGGCGGCGGCGGAGAAGTAGGCCTGGATGCCGGGCGAGGCCTGGTGTCTCACCTGTCAGCCTGCAGCCGGGCGAGGCCTCGGAGTCTCCCTCGAAGGCCAGGCGGGGTCCTTCCTTCGTCGTCGTCGTCGTCCTCCGAGCCCCTCTCGCCCTCCCCTTCCCCTTCCCTTCCTTCTCCTCCGCCGCCGCCGCCGCCTCCGAATCCCAGGGAAGGGCCGAGAGAGAGTGAGGAGAGGCGGCAGCGACGGAGGAAGGAGGAGGAGGAGGAGAAGGCGGCGGCGGAGGCGAGAGGGAAGGGAAGAAGGAGGGAGAGGAGGAGGAGAGGAGGAAGCAGAGGGAGCCGCACCAGGAAGAAGAAGAAGAGGAGGAGGAACAATTCTCTCGCATATGAGGGAGTGAGAGGGAAAGAGAGAGAGAGGGAGAGAGCGCCAGGGAGACCCACGAGCCCCGCTTCCGGCTCCGGGCGGAAGTCCCGCCCCCGGCGGAGGAAGGGATTGGACGCCGCCCTCCTCCTTCTTTCCCCCTGCCCGCCCCCTTCTTCCCTTCCTTGGGGCCCCCGCGCGTGATTGGGCGACGTCAAGGGGCGCGCGCGGAGGGTGACGTCACTCCTTTCATGCGCGAGCCAGGGAAGGGATTCGCAGAGAAGGCTCGGCTCGCCGGTTAGAGCGGCGCGTTCCAATGGCAGAGGCGGAAGATTGCCCTCCTCTCGCTTGCCGTAGGGCGGATTCAAAGCTGGCCCTTGCGAATCTCTTAAAGGGCCAGTCTGAAATATCCTCTCTAGATCTACAACTTAAAATATACAATAATAAAACAGTATATCATTATATATTATCAGTCGTAATTATATTTTATTTATTTATTTACGACATTTATATAAATAATAATAATATATCAGAGAGATAAAATCTAGAAATAGTTTTCTAAGATCTACAGAGACACTCGCTGGAACACCTCAGCAAGCGAGAGTCCAAAAGTGGCAGACTCAAACCCAGGACCTCAATCAATGGCTGATACCAAATGAGAGACTCTCCCCTGGGCACACAGAAAACTGGGTGACTTGGAAGGCGCTGGACAGACTGCACTCTGGTACCACGAGATGCAGAGCCAACCTTCAGAAATGGGGCTACAAAGTGGAATCCTCGACATGCGAGTTCGGAGAAGAGCAAACCACTGACCACCTGCTGCAATGCAACCTGGGCCCAGCCACATGCACAATAGAGGACCTCCTTGCGGCAACACCAGAAGCACTCCAAGTGGCCAGATACTGGTCAAGGGACATTTAATCAACTACCAAACTCACAGATTTTGTATTTTCTCTGTTTGTTTGCTTTGTTCTGTTAGAAATGTAATATAATTGACTGGCTGCCCTCCTCTCGCTTGCCGTAGGGCGGATTCAAAGCTGGCCTTCGGAATCTCTTAAAGGGCCACTGTCAAAATATCCTGTCTGTATTTCAACTTAAAATATCTTCTATATAAATAAAAATGTAATGTTCGTTTGTGGGATTAACAGAACTGGTTAACAGAGGCCCTCACTACCTCTGAGGATGCTTGCCATAGATGCAGGCGAAACGTCAGGAGAGAATGCCTCTAGACCAGGGGTCCACAAACTTTTTAAACAGAGGGCCAGGTCACAGTCCCTCAAACTGTTGGAGGGCTGGATTATAATTTGAAAAATAATGAATGAATTCCTATGCATGCTGCACATATCTTATTTGTAGTGCAAAAAACACTTAAAATAATACAATAATTAAAATGAAGAACAATTTCAACAAATATAAAATTATTAGTATTTCAATGGGAAATGTGTTGTTGTTGTGTCCTTTCAAGTCGTTTCAGACTTAGGTTGACGCTGAGCGAGGGCCGGGTAAATGACCTTGGAGGGCCGCCCCCGGGCCTTAGTTTGAGGACCCCTGCTCTAGACCATGGCCATATAGCCCGAAAAAACCTACAACAACCCACTGGACGAATTGACACCAAATTTGGACACAAGACACCTAACAAGCCAATGAGTGACCATCACTACTAAAAACACTGGAAAACGCAGTGGATGAGACTTAAAAAACAAAAAAATGCATTACAATGCATGTGCAAAACCACATATATACACAAACACACATATATACAGAAATATATACACATATATATGCACACACAAAACATACACAGAAAGGGGCAAGAAAGGAAGGAAAAGAGGGAGAGAAAGGGAAAAGGAGGGAAGGAGAGAAGAAAATACAAAAGTGAAAGAAGGCAGGAAAGAGAAGGAAGGAAGGAAGGAGAGAAGGGAGAAAGAGGAAGAGAAGGAAAGTAAGAAAGGTAGGGAAGGAAGGAGAGAAGGAAATAAAAAAGTGAAAGAAGGAAGGAGAGAAGGAAGAAAGATGGAGAGAAGGAAAGTAAGAAAGGTAGGGAAGGAAGGAGAGAAGGAAATAAAAAAGTGAAAGAAGGAAGGAAAGAGGGAAGGAAGGAGAGAAKGAAGAAAGACAGAGAGAAGGAAAGAAAGAAAGGTAGGGAAGGAAGGAAGGAGAGAAGGAAATAAAAAAATTGAAAGAGAGAAGGAAGGAAGGAGAGAAGGAATGAAAGAAAAAAAAGRAAGGAAGGATGGAACCAAAGAGCAAAGGAAGCGAGGAAAGACACAGTTGGGAAGGAAGGAAGAAGAAGGGAAAGAAAAAGAGGGAAGGAAGGAGAGAAAGAAAGAAGGAGAAAAAGAGGGAGGGAGGCTTGGCCACAGCAATGCGTGGCGGGTACAGCTAGTACAATAATAAAACAGTATATCATTATATATTATCAGTTGTAATTATATTTAATATATTTATTTATTTATGACATTTATATAAATAATAATAATATATCAGTACTACTATGTTACAATATTGTATGTTATTATATTGTTACTAGCCATTCCCTGCCACGCGTTGCTGTGGCCCAGTCTGGTGATCTGGAAAATAAAGTAACGAGAAAGTGTTGGTTTCTAATATATGTAATTTTTTATGCTTGTGGGTGAACAGTATTTCTTGCTGTTTTTTTGTCAGTGTTGATGTGGAGTTTGTCTGGTTTTCCTACTCTGGAACATACAACATTTAATTGTCCTTCTTTAGGGGTCCCTTTCAAATCTACGATACTATATCTATGTGTGTGAGTGAATCATATATATCTATATCTATGGCTGGATGGCTCTTTGTCAGGAGAGCTTTGATTACGTTTTCTTGCCGTGGTGAAGGGAGTTGGACTGGATGGCCTTAAGTATTTTCTGTTGATCATGGGGGGTTCTGTGTGGGGAGTTTCCTCCAATTCTCTCCTTGGTGGGTTTCAGAATGCTCTTTGATTGTAGGTGAACTATAAATCCCAGTAACTACAACTGGGATTGTAGTTACTGTCTACTTAATGTGAATGTCTACTTTCCCCAAACTTCATCTGTGTTCATTTTGGGGCATATAGAGTATTCCTGCCAAGTTTGGTCCAGATCCATCGTTGTTTGAGTCCACAGTGCTCTCCAACACTTAAGGTCAATGCCCACCAAACCCTTCTAGTGTTTCCTGTTGGTCATGGGAGTCCTGTGTGCCAAGTTTGGCTCAATTCCATTGTTGCTGGAGTTCAGAATGCTCTTTGATTGTAGGTGAACTATAAATCCCAGCAACTACAACTCCCAAATGACAAAATCAGTTTTTTGAGTGATGGTCACTCCTTGGGTTAGTAGGTGTCTTGTGGCCAAATTTGGCAGCAATTCATCCAGTGGTTTTTGAGTTATGTTAATCTCATAAACAAACATTACATTTTTATTTATATAGATTAACATCCCATATATTTTACAACTTAAAATATACAACAAAACACTATATCATTATATTTTATTATTATATATTATCAGTCGTAATTATAATTAATATATTAGTACTACTATGTTACAATATTATTATATTTTATTATATTGCATTACTATTTGTCTTATATTATTAGCATAGTACAATATTAATGTAAAAGTTTCCCCTTGAAATTAAGTCTAGTCGTGTTCGACTTTGGTGAGGTTGGTGCTCATCTCCATTTCTAAGCCGAAGAGCTGGTGTTGTCCGTAGACACCTAGGTAATGTAGCCAACATGACTGCATGGAGCGTCGTTACCTTCATGCAAAAGCGGTACTTGGTGATCTTGCATTTTTTCGAACTGCTAGGTTGACAGGAGCTGGGCTAACAGCGGGCGCTTATCCTGCTCCTCAGATTCGAACCACCAACCTTTTGGTCAGCAGATTCAGAGCTCAGCGGTTTAACCCGCTGCGCTACCAGGAGCTCCTAGCACAATATTAGTATTATGTATGACTATATTGTACTATACCACTATACTGCAATATTGTTACATACATGATATAAATGATATAAATATCATATATTTATATGTGATATATAAATATATATTATATATTATTATATTATACTATATTATTAAACCACAATATATATAATACACTACCAGTATATTATACTATTAGTATTCTATAATATACCATAAGTTGTAGTATATATAATATAATAGAACATTGTTAATACACTATATAATATATTAGTATTATTCCATTAATGTGTTAATATATATTTGTGTCAGGAGCAACTTGAGAAACTGCAAGCCACTTCTAGTGTGAGAGAATTGGCCATCTGCAAGGACATTGTGCAGGGGACGCTCAGAGGTTTTACCATCATATGGGAGGCTTCTTTCATGTCCCCGAATGGGATGCTGGAGCTGACAGACAGGAGCTCAACCTGCTCCCCAGATTCAAACTGCAAACCTTTCGTTCAGCAGGCCTACCGACACAAAGATTTAACCCATTGCACCATTGGGGGCTCCATATTGATGGGATCTCAAGTGTTGCTGCAAGATACACAGGTGCATTAGGTCTAGGTGCATTAGTGCAGTTTGGCATTGTGAGAGTTGGGAGTCCAAAACAGGGCCTAAGTTTGCACATGCCTGGTCTAGGTGCATCCGTTTTGTAGATTAGTGCAGTTTGGCATCACTTTAGCTGCCATGGCTCAGTGCCGTGGCTTCATAGGAGTGTAGTCATAGGAGTTGTAGTTTTCCAAGGTCTTTAGTTTGTATTATTATTCTCTTTATCTTTCTCCCTGTGGGGACCCAAGGCAACTAGAATTCATAGTGCCTACCAGGAACTCATTTTTAAAAGTATATATAGCCAGAAGGTGAGAGTATACAGCAGGCATGGGCCAACTTGGGCCCTCCAGGTGTTTTGGACTTCAACTCCTACAATTCCTAACAGCCTACTGTTGGCTGTTAGGAATTATGGGAGTTGAAGTCCAAAACACCTGGAGGACCCAAGTTGGCCCAGGCCTAGTTCTAATGGGAGCCAACAACCTCCCAGATTATGTTGAGTATCCCTTATCCAAAACCATACACTTCAGAAATTAATACGAATAAGATTTTTAATACTTCTGAATTACTTTCCCTTGTTTGAAGATTTAATGCAGAAATCTTTAGTAAAAAGTGAAAGATTT